GGCACTCTTTTTTGCTTTTATAACCAACGTCCTCCTTAAGTTACAACCCAGTTGTAAGTAGCTCACGAAAGTTATTAAGGTTTGTTGGATCAACCGGCCTAGGCCGGTTGCAACCGCCGGGGCTCAAGCCCCTAGCGTAACGGCCTAGGCCTCCATGAGCTTAAGAGTGTTTAAAGCCCTGGTTAAACGACTACTAGAATTGAACATGTTTTTCTTCGTGAGTAGCTTTTAAAGCCTTTGGTTTTCTTGTAGCATTGGGCTTCGCCCTCGTCGTTAACGCGTGTGTATTACTAACAGCCCGTCCCCTTCGGGGAAGCGCTGTTAGTAGATCAAGGGGCAAAGCCCCTTTCCCCGAAGGGGTTCCCCGAAGGGGTTCCCCGAAGGGGTTCCCCGAAGGGGTTCCCCGAAGGGGTTCCCCGAAGGGGTTCCCCGAAGGGGTTCCCCGAAGGGGTTCCCCGAAGGGGTTCCCCGAAGGGGTTCCCCGAAGGGGTTCCCCGAAGGGGTTCCCCGAAGGGGTTCCCCGAAGGGGTTCCCCGAAGGGGTTCCCCGAAGGGGTTCCCGAAAAGGTTCCCCGAAAAGGTTCCCCGAAGGGGTTCCCCGAAGGGGTTCCCCGAAGGGGTTCCCGAAAAGGGTTCCCCGAAGGGGTTCCCGAAAAGGGTTCCCCGAAGGGGGTTCCCCGAAGGGGGGGGTTCCCGAAGGGGTTCCCCGAAGGGGGGGGGGCGGTTCCCGAAGGGGGTTCCCCGAAGGGGGGGGGTTCCCGAAGGGGTTCCCCGAAGGGGTTCCCCGAAGGGGGTTCCCCGAAGGGGGTTCCCCGAAGGGGTTCCCCGAAGGGGAAGCGCTTCTTCCCCTAAAGGGGAACTTTAGTTCCCCTTTAGGGGATGAACTACTTCGTCATAGTCATACCAAGTCCCCTCTGGTCTTAGTCCCCTAGGGGGTGTCATTCCCTTTAGTTCCCCTAAAGGGGATGACAACCTTTGGTTCATCCCCTAAAGAAGATGAACCAAAGGGCTCCCCTTTGGTCACAAAATCGGGGATCCTCAG